AATAATAGCTCCTGGCATAAGCACAGCATCAGAATCGGATTTTATTGGTTGGCTTCAAACTGTTGGGGATCGTCTCCTGAAACGAGAGTGCCGAGACACAGCTCCTCAGTTGCAGCAGACGATCTTCCCCATTCATTTTAGAGTGCCTAAGCAGCGTGCTTGGGGCGAGGACTGGTCCTGCTGGACACAGCAGGGCTGTGAGGCATAGTTTGCTGTGGTCCTCTCTAAGAGTCTGTTTTTCCTCTGCTATGTCTCAGCCCAAGATAAATTGATCTTACAGCTTGCCACAGCTAATCAATTCAAAGTTGTGTGTGTCTCTCATAGATCATAGGAATCTATCAGAGCATAGTCCAAGTTTGTTTTAATTTGGTACTTGCCATACAGTATATAACATACACTGACATAAATCCAAACAGCGAACTAGTAAGACTAGCTTATGCATTGCCCACTTGCACTTGGTTATCATCTTACCAAGTTCCCCATGTAGACAAGCTGTGAGATACAGTGATATAGCAAAGATGAGTTGTAGTTCCCAAATTTAGCCATATATTTTAATTTGTCTTGATGTTATTTCCTTGATCGCACTTCAGTCACTCATGGTTTATTTTGTTTGATGTTATTTAAACTGAGAGATTCACTGGATGATTATTGTGTTATTTACTCAGGTGGGTTATTCCTGCAGAATTGTTACGACGCGTTATAGATTTGATGTAACATTTAGGGTTGATGGAGTGACTGGAATTTAAAAACCCTACTCTTATGCTGTCTCACTCAATAATGCACAAAATCGTAATCTTTTACAATTTTTGCTTTGTAGAAACATGGATAATTTGTACAAAAGTAGTCATGGTTGCAATTAAGGATGCTGATAGTTGTTTTTGGTTTTGATTTCCTATCCTTCAGAATCCTTAGTAAACTTTCACGGTCAAAATCCAGATGGTACTGCAGAGCTCAGTGTAGTTCTCGATTTTTTCCCTGTTTTTGTTGATTATAACTCTCCCCAGATAAAGTGTAAAACTCTCTGAATTTTTGGCCTTTGGCTGTTTGGAAAGCTGCTGTCAGCTTCCAGCACAAGCCAATTCATATTCAGTGCACGTCAACAGCTTGCTGGTAGGGAGAAGCATGATGCTGAGCAGACCAGTTTGCCATTGCCCAACAATTTAAAAACCAATAGACCCTGCTGTATCTGGTGAGGCTTCCTTTTTTTTTTTTTCTTATTTTTTCTTTTTTCTTTTTCTTTTTTTTTGAATAGGCAGCTCACCTTCCATTTTTTTTTAATTCACACTGCTCTCCTATTCCAAAGAATCATTGGCTTACAAATTCTGAGGAAGTATTGTCCTGTGGAGATGGGGAATACAGAAGGAAGATTTTAATCCCTTAGATAATTAAGCACTAAAATAAATGATTAAAAAATTATGAGGCGAAACACTGTTAGTTTTAATATAAAAATAATGTACTTCTCCCTGTGGAATGCAAGGGAGCGAGCTGCAATCAAAAAAAGGGAAATAAAAAATTGAACACCCTGAGCTTTTTCCTCTCTCTAAGTTGCCTCCTTGATGTCTCACTGTGTTTAATGGTGCTTTGCCAGGCTGTTGGGAGGAGGACAAAATGAGTGTGGAATTTATAAATGGGGCATTAGATGGAGGAACGGTGTTATGGGCTGGCTAATCTGAGGAGTACAACAACAGAACAGATTTTGCCTTAGGGCTGGATAGAAGAGATGTATCCCTGCAACTGTACTGCAAGCCATTTAGAGTTGTTAGAGATCTTTGTTGAGGGATTATCTAGAAGAGGTCTGTAAAAACTTCATCTGCTCCAAACGAATATCTAGAGAGAGAGAAGGACCTGAATGCAGAAAGATATCAAGGCTAGAGCTAAAGGTGTTTTTGCATCCCAGAAATCCCTGTAGTTTACTCTGCATAAAAACAAGCAGAAAACCATTGGGCATGATTGCCTCTAAATTCAAAAAACATCTAGCATTCCTG